ATGTTATCTAAAACATTGTAGGACAAAAATGTTTCTATAAATGCTTGGATTTTGAGTTTATAAGTTCATGAAGTCATGACATTTTCATTTAACACTTAGAGAAATTTTCAACAGACTTTGGTCAGGATTTTATCCCAACTTCTTGGCATTTTTTCACATAGTTACAAGATGATTTTGTCAAAATGGACAACATGAAAGTTATAGAGGGTGTTTCAAGCTTTCCAAAATATCCAAGAGCATGAATTTATCATACTTGAGCTAGAAGATTCAAGGGCATGAAGTTGGGCATCCATTCTTGAATTGGAAGTCATTTTATTGAAGAACACATAACAAAACCCTTATGATATGCTGCATAATATTGTGTTGCAGGCCTCCTTGATTGCAAATCTCATCATATTTTAATGTTTACACCCACTCTTGAGCTATTACCCAAGTTTTTAAGCCTTTGTCCAAAAGATCTTTCCATTTATGGCATAAAGTTACCATTGCAATTCTTGAAAAGCAAACTTTTTGATACAAATTTGTATTGAGCCCATACTTTGTTTGCTTCTGATTTTGCTCCACCATAAATCATGGAAAACAGCCCCTCTGAACCAACAACTTTGGTACTTCATCTTGGTATTATGGAGTACTTGACATAGTTTGATCTTTGCAATCCAACCAAACCATAACATGCTGTCTTGCAAACCTAATAAGCTCATATACACAAACCTCTTGCCTATAAATAGAAGAAGCATTTGCAAGAGAAAGAGGTAAGAAAAAATAGAGAGAAAAGCCAGAAGTTTTATTGATAAACCCTCAAAATATCATATTCACAAAAGCTATAACATTCCACAAAGCTTCCACTCTTAAGTTTTGAAGTCCAAACCTTTGAACCTCTCATACCTTGCAAAGCTATGGCCAAACAAACTATCAAAATACTCCACATACATCATATATAAGTTTGTTCAAACTCAAGAACAAGCTTCTGTAACACCTCTATTTCCCCCAAGTTCAAGAACAATCAAGGCAGGAACTCAAGCTTAAAGCATAAATTCCAGATTCAAGGTAAGTCTTCTTGACTTTAACCCTTCATTTCAAGCATCATTAATGATTCATATTTGAAGATAAAATGTAGTAACCATTGCACTTGAAGATAACATTTTGCTTGTCTTCCATCCTTGTCAATTATATGTTAAGAACTGACATGTACAGACCATAAAAAATGCTGGAGTGAAAAAATTACAGTATGAGTCAACACATACCTATATGAGTCGACACATCTTAGTGGAAAAACAGGCTATGAGTCGACACAAAGCCTCATGAGTCGACACATACTGCTATAACAGGCACAAAATAGAAAGAAAAAAGGCACATGAGTCGACACAAAACACGTATCTGTCGACACAAATAAGGAATTAGTTGACATACGCCATTATGAATCGACTCATACTAAGTTGATTTGGTATTATAAGGGCAATGGAAGGTTATGTGTCGATGCATATAAGCATGTGTTGACACATAATGTTAAAGAATTGTTTTTTTCTCTCTTTTATACTATTTTTACATATTTCACATATTTTCTTCATAGCTATTCAACATGGTTGTAATATTTAAGCTTCTATTTCATCCCTATTTGTAAATTGTACCTCCATTCCCTATTGATGTAATAGCATAGGATTTTAATTTCCGCAAATTTATATAATTGTTAGTAATTAGGGTGTGTATGGCAAGATAAAATCAATGCTTAGAAAAACCTAATCCAAGATAAACTCATACATGAAAAATAAACACTAGCACAATTGCACCTCTAGGGTTAACTCCACTTGTTACCTTGAGAAAATGGTCATGTTATGCATGTGAGACATCTTAGCATAAACAAACAAAATACAAGATCAAAGTCCCTCGATGACGCTGTGAATGTTTCTTTACAAATGATCTGTATCCCTTAAGAAAAATGCTAAGATATCTCGTAACATTACATCTTATGACTATACGATGACCCGCGCCCGTCCCTTCACATCCAAAGATAAGGCTTCTTACCAATCAAATGATAAGATAGCAATGTCAAAGGAGGAGGAAAAGAATTAAAGACTTTTTAGTAGGTAGAACATTCTTAGTTGCTTGCTCATAATCCATCTTCAAAATAAACAACTTTTCAAACACACCAAACACTTTCTAAAACATGAAATATTTTCAAAAGTCCAACACTTTGTATGCATTCTTATAGAGACGAGAATCATTACAAAGTTTGCTTAAACGAAGGCGCTTTTCAAAAATACTTTCAAAACCCACCACAAACACATTTCAAAAAAGCAATTTCAAAAGTGATCTAGCAAGCAACGAAGAGCCCATAGATAACTATGGATGAAAAGGATGCTAACACCTTCCCTTTTCCTAATCTACCCCCCGAACTTAAGAAAATATCTCAAAGTTCTTTCCTGTTCTTTTCACTCTTTCCTTATTGGATAAAAGAAAAGTCGGTGGCGACTCTTGCTATCTGCAACAATTGCGATAAAAACGCAAAACAACCAAAGTCAGTTCTCCCACCGTATCACACAAACATACTCGATAAATGTTGCAAGAAGAGTATACACCCCACAAGCAACCTCGTGAGGCAACGGGGATAAGATGAATTCCCCGAGCAGTTTCACGAGTTTCACGGGGATGAGATGAATTCTTCGAGCAGTTTCACGAGTTCCGCAGGGATAAGATAAATTCCCGAGCAGTTTCACGAGTTCCGCGGGGAATGGGATGAATTCCCCGAGAATTTTCATGAGTTCTACGAGGAACAGGTAAATTTCACGGGCCATTTCGCAAATATCACGAAGATATGTATGAATATCCCGAGTAAAATTCCCCTGGGTCGTGTATCCCGTCAAAGATTATCGAAAAAGCCAATCGTAAATGACAATAATTACTGGAAAAAATTTACTTGATTGAAGTCAGTGAGCAGTCTGCGGCGGAGGTTGCGACGTTGCTTGCAGTTGAAGGAGGAGATAGAAGACAATGGAAAACTAAAAGCGATAGGGAGAAAGGAGAGAGCGATAGTTGGAAATGTTGAAAATGAACCCTAAGGCACTATTTATAGAGTTGGCACGAAAGACGAAACGTCGCGTCGAACATCACGCCAACCACCCTTCTCCTCGCCATCTACACAGACATGGTTATAATGACCCCTATTCCCTAGGCCATCATTTTATCCCAAAGGCCACACCACGTGTCTACATCCTGCGGACTTTAGTCTCCCCGTGAGTCGAGGAGCAGATAATCTTTCTCCGTGCGCGAAGTTCAATCTCTATTCAAATAGTCGCGACTGAAAGCTATACCACATAGCTTACGAGGTAGACATACTCCGTACTCCGTCTCCCGGGCAACTCAAGGAACAATTGAAATGTTCTTTGTGAAGCAAGTTCCAACCTCTTCTCGAGTGGCCACACGTAAAAATGACCCCATCCTTTGATGCGGTGAAAAACCCCAACTAAGTTGTGCTCGCCATACGGAGAAATTGGTTTTAAGTCATAACTCCTTTTCTGTCAGGAGCAACGATTTGGGGGGTTTCTGTTTTGAACTGGGCCTGCACTTGACCAAACCATACAAGGCCCAATCCAACTACGCTACATGAGAAGCCCCGCAGGAAGAGTCTGCCCTCGACCATGTAAGGTAGTAACTCCACTCTTCTGGTCGACTTGGTTTTGACCTACGAGGATAACCCATGAATGGCGAGGAGAACCAATAATGCTCGAGAGTTTCTCACGAACATCGTCCACTCTTCTCGTCGACCAAGACAAGTCCTCCAGGAACAACCTCACGACTGACGAGGAGGGTCAACGACGGTCAGAAGGACCTCGCGAGCATCATCCTCGTAGGACTGACACACAACATCTCTGAATATCACGGAGTCCTCTTGACCCCGAAAAGACCACATTCATATGCTCCTGATAGTTCGGAGAAATTCATCCAGATTGGGGACCACGTGCTGGCCCCCACTTCACATGTAGGACCTGACAATCTCCATTTTCGGGCCTGCTTGCTCAGTCCAGCAGTGGGGATCTTGGCCCAGCGCTGAGAGCTATAAATACCCTCTCACTTGAGAGGATCAAGTATTTCAATCACTGACCCATATTCTCATACTCGCTTGCATTTGCTCTAAACCTCACTTTGGCATCAAAATATCTTGGAGATATTTCCCACTTCACATCCAACTGCTACTCGACTTGAAGCTTATATGCTTTGACAATCTCTTCTAATCAGGTACGAAAGAGAAATTTTTTTTCACAACAATAAATTGAATTAATTTTAAAGAAAAAGGTTGACCGGCATATGTGAACGGATATGGCATATGGCTAAAAGAAAAACAAAAGCGTGAGATCTATTTTGCTCGAAAAATCACACATCCATAAATATATAATAAATTAAAGTTTTCTTTTCCGTTGAAAAAGTTTTGCAATTTTATTACCAAAAATTCTTCACAATGGAGCTAAAGATGCATCGAGAGGTAGGGGTGATTCGTTTATAAGTGGAAAAGTGAATGCAACCGAGTCAAACAGTGACAGCTTCATAGCATTTAAGTTCAGTCTTACTCTTTTCATATACTTATCTATCATACATACTCTTCAACAGTACTTCTCAACTACGCTCATTCCTCATTCAATTTCCAAATGTCCCTACAGAATTCTTGCCAGGTTCTGTTTTTGTTGTTCAATCTAATCAATACCTCTTTCTGTTTTCTGTGCTTCTCTGTTTAATTTCAATGCAGCCCTTTCTTACTTTCTCTGTCTTCACAAGTAAAAAACCTTTAACCCATTCCTTTCACTTTTGCTCAGATTCTTGTTTTCTATAAATTCTGTTCAGGGAATTAATAACCTTGTCTGAGGTTTTTTGAGAACCACGTCATCGCTTCTTGTTGCTTTTCTCCCTTTAAAAGCTTTCTCTTGTAAAGCCACAAGCACAACAAAACAATAGAGACAGTCACTTTCTGGGTGAAGCAAGCTGTTTTGTTTTGATTTAAGAAACCAAAAATGGACGTAAGCTTATATTTCAACGAACCTTTTATTTTTCTTAAGTTATACTAGTTGTTAAAGTTGATGAAAAATGATTCAAGTTGTTTTTTATTGTTAGGAATATTGGAAGAGAAGTGGTCAAATACCAGCTTTCGGAAACTGGGATATTGCGAACGAGTTGCCAATAACTCAATACTTTGAGAATGCAAGACAAGCTGGTTTGATTCGTTACAGTTCTTCATCTGGTGAGAGCGGTTCTTACCTGCACGGAGAACAAGATCTGTATGCAGTTGATTCCAAGAAACCAGTTGAAAAGGTAACAAGATCTTGTTTAATTGTATTTTGTAGTACATTTTTGTTTGGTTCAGATAAGAACAAGATATGTGATGTAGAAAGAAAGAGTGCGTGATGTTGTTTGTGTTTTAATATCCGTAGGACACGAGGATTAGAGAAACTAGAATGAGAAAAGATGGCAAAGTGTATGATGTAACAGAATATTCAATGAAGCAGACAATGAACAAGAAGAAGATATTAGATGTAAAGGACATCGTTTGCAAGGCTTCTTTACCGACAAGAAATCCGAAACCAGTAGATGAAGATCTTTACAAAATTTCTCCTCAACTTCTTCGCAAAACCAAACGGGTTCGTTGCATTTTGTATTTTACTACACTAAATGTTGTGATTTGATTCATTATTTTGACTTGATTATTTATTGTTTGAGCAGAAGAAAATGTTGGGTTTCATTTCCAAGTGCCTCGTGCCTACTGCCTGTGTTTCATGACCAATTAATTAGGTTGCCGACATACGTCAAGCAAGTTTTTTATTTTTTTGTTTTGTTCTTTTGTTAATTAAGCTGATGGCTATGTTTGGCTTGTTTTCATCTTCACTCAATGGTGAATGACTTTTTTGTATGATGAGGATGAATGAATGAATTTATATACTAGCTAGTTATTGCTTGCATACCATGAGTTTGTTTGGATTCTATATTTAAAAGAGGAATTCTAATACAGTATACAAATACATCATTATTAATGACTATTAAAATTAAATTAACTGATGTTCCAAGTGGTCCGTAGGTCTAAAGAAGAAGGTTCAAATATATCCTAAGTTGCACTATTCATTCAACATACAAAGGAACAAGTGATTTTGGCTACTAGTGCTATATATAAACTCAACGATGTGACATTTTAAATATTATCCCCTTCTGTTCTAATTGGAGAAATGGGCTCAATTGTAGTGACTTCTCCTTCTGTTCCAAATCTTATAAATCCACTTAATCCAACTATCGACCAGAGCACATTTCAAGTCTTTGAGATTTTTTAGTATTCTCATTAACTATTACTAGGTTAAACCTTCAAACAACCTCCCTTGCAACCACTGATCCCTAGATAAAAACCTCCGGCAACTCCAAGACAAGTTGGGCATGCAAGGAGAGATCAAACTGCTCAACAATGTCTACAACTTTATACGACATCATAACTCACATTTCTTGGCCAAAAGATTCATATATATTGAAGAAAACCTGCAATAGGCTTCTTTTAGAGATCACTCCCTTCACAAGGTGACGTCGCACATAATCACGGAGCCACATCACAACCAATTCTCGTCGATACCGTCTCTCCAGAATGGGTAGCTCCTAGATTTCCAGATCGCTTATGCTATCAAAAATGTTGATCTCCTCAACCTAATTTTGGAGGAAAAGGCCGTAGCCATACTGCATTGGGAGGACTTCATTCGCATGAATCACCACCACATGTCATTCCTGAAAGGAAGACAATCACGAGGACGAGAGACACGTTCCTAACCGAATAAGGAACTCGCTCTCCAAGTGTATCCTCGACAGTCAGACCCCGAAGTCCCTCGAAAAACCCCCCAAAGTTAAATAAGGAACTCGCTCCACAAGCGTATCCTCGACAACCTAATCCTGAAGTCCTTGTGAAACAACCGGCTGAAAATCATCAAACAATGAAGTCGCCATCGAACGTCTTTTATCCCACATTTATGGAAAGGTAAACATCGAGAAAACCTGAGAAGGGAGAAGTCACGGTCTTGCGACCGAGAGATCGGGTAAGGGAGTCTGTTACGCGAGGGGAAGGTATTAGCACCCCACACGCCCGTAGTACTCTATGGTATCCACTCTTGTTGTCTATCTTATGGGTGTGCTTAATCTATGCTTACTGTTTACTATACTACTGAAGGGAGAATGCATGCAAAAGAAATGAGAAAAGAATGTAGGGAAAATGAAAAGTTGTGGTCGCCTGAGCCCTACCCCAATGCCTACGTATCCTTTTTGAGGAATCAGAGCTACCGTAGTTCGGCTCATATGTTTTTGTTTGTTTTGTGTTTTTTATGGACAATGTTAATTCCGCCTTCTGCCGCAGCTCGACCTTTGGAGACTTATGCATTGGCACAGAAGTAAACTAATCATGTCCTTACCTGAAAAGGGTTTTAGAGAAAAGGTGCTTGAGCGCACAAAATTGTTTGAATTGGTTTGTATTTTTGTTACCTTGAAAAAGGGTTTAACTACGATTAACATGTTTTTGATTTGCTAAAAAGAGAAGTTTTTGTTTTGAATGCAAGGATGCAAGAAGGGGAAGAAAAGAGTCTAAGGGAGACTAGCCTATTTCTAACCTAATGTTATCATACAATGGTAGTCCTATGTCAAGGATGAAGGGGAAGTTTCTACCTACTGTTAGCATGTATGGTTTACAACCTAAGGCCTAACTTGCGTCCGAACGGAGCGAGGGCATCCTAAGGGAACATGGTATGTACAAGGATAAAGCAAGCAAGCCAGCAAAAAAGCACACCTAAAGAGATCCTGCCTAGGTTAGCATGTCGAAGAAAAGTCTAAAAAAACTATCCTATAGGGAGCATGCAATGAGAGCGAAGTCGTGATCTCAATTGCTAAATTGAGTGACTCATCGATCGATAAGAAAGTAAACAAACACAAGCACAACACATATAGCAAATGAAGTGCGGAATGTCTGCTACAAGTCTTTAAACAGTGACTTCGAGCACACGCTCTTTATTTCCTACTTCTCATGGTATCTAGAAAGAAATAGAGTGCGAAAATGGGGAATAAAATGAAGGTCACGGTGATACCGAACGGAGAAGGTCCGTTGCCTCTTCAAAACCACACAAGCAATAAGAAATCTCTACAGAAGTGGCTCCGCACGAGTGATCAAAAATTAATCTCCAAGCATTTCCCATCGCGGAAGTTACATCAATATCCTATCGTAAAATCTAGGCTAAAAATGGCAACAAAAATGATTACCAAACATAAAATCAATAATAGAATATTGGCAAAATACTCATTTTGGTCCCTTAACTATACCCTTGGGTTCACATTGGTCCCTTAACTTTTTTTCGTGTCATTTTGGTCCCTTAACTTTCAAAATGTTTCATTTTAGTCCTTTTTGTCTAATTAGCTACGAATTTAGCGGCTGATTTCAAAGTTTTTCCGTCTAATTAGCTACGAATTTAGACAAAAAGGACTAAAATGAAACTTTTTGAAAGTTAAGGGACCAAAATGACACAAAAAAAAGTTAAGGGACCAATATGAACCCAAGGGTATAGTTAAGGCACCAAAATGAGTATTTTGCCTAGAATATTCTAATAAAATTCTAAAGAGAATCTAAAAATATTTCCTAAAATATTCTACTATTTTTTAGGTTATTTTGTCATAACAAAAACATAAAAAAACTACAAAGTTCCTAAATCTTAATATGAAAATATGAGTTCAAGGGGGGTGAAAACTGGAAACAGGGGTATGCTACAAGCAGAGTGCTAGGCCCATCAGAATGAAGTCCATGAAGTTTTTTTGAATCAAAGCTTTAAAATTCCAAAAAAAAAAACTCCATTGGGCTTAGGAGGGAGGTACAGTCCAGATATATCATTTTATATTCCTTTTTTTTTACTGCATTATATACATATTGTGATCGGTGGGAATACAACTGACTGTTTTGGAATGCTGGTTCGCGTTTTGCGTTTGTTTTCGCGAAATGTCGCGGTAAGCAAGAGTCGTCACCGTCTTTTATTTTATCGAACAAGGAAAGGACAAAAGCACAGAAAAATTCTTTTTTGAGATATTTCTCGGGTTCGGGAGGTAGATTATAGAAAGGGAAAGTGTTAGCACCCTTTCTATCCGTGGTTATCCACGGGCTCTTAAGTACTTGCTCATTGTGTTTTCAAAAGTTTGCTTTTCTTTGTGTTTGTGGGTTTGAAAAGAGTTTTTGTTTTGAAGAGAGTGTAGGTGCAAAAAGTTTTGTTTTGTTTTAAAAGGAGCAAGTACTTAAGAACCATCTACCTACTCGAAAAAGGAATTAAACTGTGCTAATGTCCTTTAGACAATGCTATCCCAATATTGAGGAGTAGGTAGCATCGTCGTTGGAGTTTTTGGGTCAATTCGATTAAGGGACATGTGGTCACTAAAGCAACGTTAGGATGCCTTAGCGGTAATCCTAATGTATTAGATCATTTTTCCGAGGCAACCGTTTCGAGGCAACTATGATCTTTGGACAAGAGGGCGACCTCTAAAACTTCCTATACTCAATGACCACGTTCGAGGCAACCAAGTGAGGTGTACTCTAAGAGTGCGCATGTGCGAGTGTATTGTTTTTCAGTTATTTATCTTTGTACATGTTATGGGTGATCTATTGTTGATTTTAAATTAAAATTGATCTTGTCATGCATTGCCTAGTTATCAAACATCTAACAGTTAATATTATACGGAAATTAAATTGCGGAAAATTGAATCTAAGCTATTACAAGGCGTCGGGTATTTACATCGCCAAAAACAAACCCTTTAAAATTAAATTGCGAAAAGTAAATAAAAGCGATAAATAAATAAATAAAATCCTAAGTTAAAAACTATTACATTCTCGAAGCAGTTACAATATTGGAATATGGATCAAAAATAATACGCGCGCGAGAAAATTAAATCGGAGTGTCTTGGGGTTTTGACCCTTTTTTATTAAAGAAAGCATATTTTTGTTATTTTTTGAATTAAAAATTGGTCTAAGTTAATAATTGAATTAATTAATTAAATGAAAATATTTTTGGGTTTTTATTTAATTAAGGAAATAAAATAAGAATGGTTGAAAATATTAAAACCTAATATTCTAATTTGATTTTAATTTATTGCAAAATATATTATTGTTAAACCTATTTAAACTAAATAAATTAATTAATGTTTATTTACAAAAATAAATATTGAAATTAATGGGTTTAATAAAAATATTATTTTTTGTTGTTTCTGATTTTTTTAAGAAAAAAGGTTAATTGGTTAATTAATTAATTAAGATAATAATAATAGTAAAACAAAAATAGGAAAATAATGAAAAGAAAATAAAAAAAAGAACAAACTCAGGGGGTATTGGGCCTGATCTGGGTGTATGATCAACAATTTTTGAGGCCCATTAGCGCTCCAGCCCGTTTGACCTTTGTGATTCCCTGCGTGCTTGTTGACCAGGGAGTATGGTGGATACTCAATTCTGGCTTTTGGATCTTGGTCTGAAGCCACTTGGCACGTTGATCTCTGCAAGCGCATGGTGGATTCCATCTTTGACGTTGCACAAGATTGCCTGAAAACAAAATTTATCAAAGTTTTAGGGGACCTGGGATTCGAACCCAGGTCCCAAGGGGTTTTGCCATAGCGTGCTTACCACCTCATCCATGCTGATTCTTTGTTATTGGAATAGAAAAAAAATATTATATTCAAAACAATTAATTATGCCCTGAAAAATAAAAAACGCGCTAATAATTTAAACAAGCCAATGACGC